CACCTAGCATTGTCGATATTTATGTTTAGACCCAACCACTGTTTTAAGCTAGGTTCAATAACATTCAAACTCGTGAGTCTCCTTGTTTTTGGTGTCGACTAATCTGAAATTCCCTTAAATATTTTCCGTGAACCTTGATTTTTCTGTTTGATGTGTTTAATTTTACACGCATCAGTGTGTAATCTATGTGTAACATTAATCTGTATGTCTCTTTTGCTGCTAAAGGCTTTAAGCTGTAATATGTCTTTATTTTATGTTATTCTCTAATGTGTTGTCTGGTATGCTGATGAAGAATTTTTAAGCTCAACTGTCCGCTGTTTTGTTCGATTTTCTATGTTTTCACGGTCCATAATGTCAGAGTAATCGCCTCATTTATAATAGAACGGATATGAACAAAGAAATACACTTATTACAGTTTGCATTTAAATATAAATAATAAGCTCAATGCTACTGCATTCAGCCACCTTCAATGCAACCAAAAGCAAACGTTAACTTTGTTTCTAATTTTATGCTTTAACATTTATCATTGGAAGTATGTTAAAGTTAAAAAATGTGCTTACGGAAAGGGAATGAAATTTCGTTTCTTCTCTTTTTTTTAGCTTGTGTGTGTTCAAAGCTTTTTATTGATTTATATTTATTTAAATATTGATGTTTGCATTTTTATTTTTAATATTTTTTTGTTGTTATTTGTTTTGTTTTTAAATAAAACCTTTTAACATTTGATATTTTTATTCACAATTTTTCTTCACAAAAATAACACTGAAGCTTTCATGTTTCTTTTTCCTTTTTGCCATTTTAATTTGTCCCATTTATATGTTTTTTTTTTAAATTTCTTTTTTTTTCATTTAAAGAAAACTAAAGAATGAATTTTATATATTAATATCCGCCACTTCTACCCTTTGGTACCAAAATGGCGCATAGCCCATTAAGAAATTGCGGTTTGCTATCGGAATCCGAACTAAAATATCAAAATTATTTTTAAAACTGTCCCTATATTTTCTAACAATAATCACAATGCCAAAGCGTTTGGTTGGCCCGAGCGACAAGGAATCGTACGACAATTCCCTTCTAATTACAGATCTTAATATTCTAGAATATATTCCTAGAATATTCTAGAAAAATTCTAACAAACCAGATCATTTTTGTTATAACCTAAACTTGTTTAGACACACATACCGATTTGATGAGATTCGATCTTGATTAATGGTACTAATCTAAGGTAATATAAATCTGATTGGGAACCTCCACAGTCTTGTATCTAAAAATTCATAGTTAAATGCCGATGAAAGTACCCCTAACAAGAAAATCCGGAGATGAAGTCCGATATGCAGTATTAGCTTTGGCACCACCCAAAAATTTTTTTAAAAAATGCTAAAAGACATTCACCTGAACTTCAAAATTAAGGTTCTCATTAAACATTCGAAATAGATTTTAAAACAATTACATTTTCCTTATATCTAAATCTTCCCCCGAAAACACTGGAACCACTCTGATGTTAAATCTAGTTATTCCCATACACACTATTAAACTTCATTTTTACATCTACGTCATAGACATGTGTTTAAAGCGTTAGTACGAGTGCATAAGTGGACGTTGAGAGCTTGTTGGTGTTGTGTTGTAAACATGAACGTGTGAACTGCATCGTCAGAAGTACTTAATACTTAATACGTCATGGGCACCATTGCCCCTACTTGAGTTATTTATTTGTTCCGGGTCCACAGTCCATTAAAAAAGCATTAGCAAGGAGAAGACGATATAATATTGTAGTTTGATAAAACGAGCCGATGAATCCTAAACTATTTAATGTTCAACATTTTAAAATTGCAATATGCCAGGAAATATTTGCTTACACAATTCATGTAAATGTCTACAATACCACAATAAATGTATTAATCGTTCGCCTTGTAGGTGACATTTAAATCATGTGCTTGACGCTGAGGCTGATTTTGTCTGGGGGGGGGAGGTGGGGGTCAATTACTGATAAAACTGATTGTGACATAAAAATTTCTTGTGTAGAGTTAAAAGGGGATAGACGGGGTAAATCCAGCTGCAGTCGTGAACTCGGTCTTTCTGGTTAAATGGCCGGTTTGGTAGCAGCTGGTCCATAAGTTTTGTATTGAATGGCTACATTGTATAAAGAGAAGAGCTAGGATGGTTTAATTGTATAAAGTGGAGCTCTGAGATGACCATATTGTATAAACAAAAACGCTAAGATGGCTGCATTGTATATAGTGGAGCTCTGAGATGACTATATTGTATAAACACAAGAGCTAAGATGGCTACATTGTATTAAGTGAAGCTCTGAGATGACTGTATTGTATAAACACAAGCGCTAAGATGGCTACATTGTATTAAGTGAAGCTCTGAGATGACTGTATTGTATAAACACAAGCGCTAAGATGGCTACATTGTATTAAGTGAAGCTCTGAGATGACTGTATTGTATAAACACAAGCGCTAAGATGGCTACATTGTATTAAGTGGAGCTGGAGCTCTGAGATGACTATATTGTATAAACACAAGCGCTAAGATGGCTGCATTGTATTAAGTGAAGCTCTGAGATGACTGTATTGTATAAACACAAGGGCTAAGATGGCTACATTGTATTAAGTGGAGCTGGAGATCTGAGATGACTGTATTGTATAAACACAAGCGCTAAGATGGCTACATTGTATTAAGTGGAGCTGGAGATCTGAGATGACTGTATTGTATAAACACAAGCGCTAAGATGGCTACATTGTATTAAGTGAAGCTCTGAGATGACTGTATTGTATAAACACAAGAGCTAAGATGGCTACATTATATTAAGTGGAGCTGGAGCTCTGAGAAGACTATATTGTATAAACACAAGCGCTAAGATGGCTACATTGTATAAAGTGAAGCTCTGAGATGACTGTATTGTATAAACACAAGCGCTAAGATGGCTACATTGTATAAAGTGAAGCTCTGAGATGACTATATTGTATAAACACAAGCGCTAAGATGGCTACATTGTATTAAGTGGAGCTCTAAGATCGTAGATCCTCTGCCGAATGTTACCCCGTAACTGGGTTTAAGCATACTTTTTTCATCGACATTATCAGCACAAATCCCACGCGGACAGCTTTATTCCAAGCTAAACATCACCAAAGCGGAGTTTTAACAAAATTGATTTTAAATTTCAAATTTGTTTTAAAAAAAGTTATCATATAATGAAAAAACGTATCCTGAGCAACTGTTTCAATTGAAGATTATTCAGCCTCTGTAATGTGTCATTCAGCCTCTGTGATGTGTCATTCAGCCTCTGGGATGTGTCATTCAGCCTCTGTAATGTGTCATTCAGCCTCTGTGATGTGTCATTCAGCCTCTGTGATGTGTCATTCAGCCTCTGTAATGTGTCATTCAGCCTCTGTGATGTGTCATTCAGCCTCTGTGATGTGTCATTCAGCCTCTGTGATGTGTCATTCAGCCTCTGTAATGTGTCATTCAGCCGCTGTGATGTGTCATTCAGCCTCTGTGATGTGTCATTCAGCCTCTGTAATGTGTCATTCAGCCTCTGTAATGTGTCATTCAGCCTCTGTGATGTGTCATTCAGCCTCTGTAATGTGTCATTCAGCCTCTGTGATGTGTCATTCAGCCTCTGTGATGTGTCATTCAGCCTCTGTGATGTGTCATTCAGCCTCTGTGATGTGTCATTCAGCCTCTGTGATGTGTCATTCAGCCTCTGTGATGTGTCATTCAGCCTCTGTGA